AAAAAAAAAAAAAAAAAAAAGTGGAAGCACAGCTGTGCAGAAATTTATTAAAAGGTTAAGCCAATGAGAATTATTTAATCTGGTTAACACGCTGTTAAACATTTCTCAAAAGGACCCTTTCATTTGTTGTGCAAGTGATCACCCAGTGAACAGAGCAATGAAAACATGATTTTACACAGCCCTAACCAAATGTGCATCGAGGAACAATGCAAACAAGTATCGCAATAAATAAACCAAATTTGTTTTTACAATGATGCAACATGAGACAAGTTTACTAAAACACTCCTGATAATTTAAAAAAAAAAAAAATTAAAAATGTAAACAATTTTAAAAAGCATCCTGCTGTTCCTACAAAATTGTGCTGATGTAGATTTTGCCCTTATATCACACACTTCTGATTAGCTATGCACTGTGTAGCCTCTTTCCACTTATTTAAATGCAGATAAACTTTGGCAATATTTAAGATACTGTGGTCATTTCTTTCATTACAAAGAAAAAAGAAAAAACACCAAGATACTACACACCCTCCCAGTGTTGAAAACATGTCACCCAGCACCTGCTATAGTGCTGATAACAAAGGAGAGGCTACTGACGGTGCTTCATCTGCAGCCACTCCCTGCTATCTTTAGATTTAGAGCACCAAGAACTCCATCAAATCAACGCCAAAACTGGTGTAGTTGTCGAGCGCTGCGAGTCACTAAGTGTTTGACAACTAAAAAGTGGTAACTAGAACTAAATCGTGTCCTTAACTCAGTCCTAAGGTCTGTATACAGAGCAGTACTTCCAACAGTGCAGTGAGTGGAAGAGGAGGGACCTAAAAAGGGATCTGCAGCAGAAACATCATCAATACTTCAGTAATGGACCTCTTCAGAGGGAACAGAATTCACAGTAATGTCACTTAAAAATCACAGGGTAAAATTTGCTACAAAAAATAAAAATTGAAAAAACACTGCATACAAAAAACACATCATGTAGAGCAGTTCACATCTTGATAGCATTACATACTGATATTTGGTGTGAATTGGTGCATCAATGGGGAGGGAAAGCTTTTAAAAAACTGTTTGTCCATTTAGGCTACGTCTCAAAGAAATCTTTAAAAAACAAAGGGAAAAAAAAAAAAAAGCAGCTTGTCAAGTATCCTCCACTGGAACGTAGTAATGTAACATTCTCTGCAGTTTTTGTAAACAGGCCATCAGTCAGGCTGACAGCTGGTTTGGCAAAAAATGTTTTGGGTATGAAAGGGTGTGAAAGAGGAGAGAAAGCAGAATGAAAACACTTCATTTTCAGTTTTATGTATTACTTTGTGATATGAGTGAATCCCTGAGACTGATACGAGTTGATCCATGTAGTTTTAACTGAAGGTACTGTAGTTTCATTCCACTCAGTACCGTTTGTTCATACTGGCCAGGCATTGATCTTTTGAAACAATTATTTTTTTCCTTCACTGTGAAGACACTGTTGTTTTGTCTCAGACACCTACAATACAGTACTGAAGTTAATGCCGCAAATGAAAAATAGGAAGAAAGTCTACTGAAACTCTTACATACCTTCCTTCCCTCTAGTTGCACAACGCAGGACAATTAACCCAAATTTACACCTTCTTTACTTCTGACAGCTCCTCAGCTCGGCACCCAGCTCTGAGGGCTCTGTTTCGAGCTGGAGAAGCTTCCTGAATTCTTGTTGCTGTTCTGTGTGGAGGTGAGGCGAGAGTCAAAGCTGAGGTCCAGGCAATCTGCGTCCATCAGTTCATTGCGGATGATTGAGTCCATGTCGCAGTCCAGATTGCTGCTGAACACCTCAAGGTCCAGATCAGCGGAGAAACGGTCCTGACTGGTTAAACTGGAACTGAGCTGCATAGAGGCGTTCTTACTAGGAGACTTCAGGTGTAGCTGCTTTGTTTCAGGGAAGCCGTCGTCACTGTCAGAGGTTGACAAGCCCGCTTGCCAACCAGGCACTGAAGAGCTTTGGGCCTGGCCTGCACTGGTGTGGTTAACCAGAATGTGGTCTTTGCGGAGCAGCATGGCATTTCGGCGGGAGTTCTGCAACGCGATGGCGGTGCTGGCCTGCGACATCAGAGGGTCGGACTGGGTCATCATGACATTGCTGGGGCTGTGGGAGTCCATCCCAAGCAGATCTAGGGCCTGGTGCTCACTGTAGTGAGACATGCAGGAGAAAGTGGTCTGCTTGTTCTCTTGGATGGTCTGCATGGGTGACTGTCGCAGGCTCGTGATGGACGGAGGGCTGAAGAGTGGGTTCGTCCCATAGCTGCTAGAGGGACTACCTAAACTGCTTCCTGAGCAGCTGAAGGTAAATACTGAACTCCCCTGACTGTTGGCCCCATCTTCCTCTCCAGGAGGAGGCTGCTGGGATGCTGTGAGGCTGATATTGTCTAAAAGATCATCCATCAGGTTGTCAGAGAGCCCGTCATTGAGGTTCATAGTGCCTGCCAGATCAGACAGTCCTGTTGGTCCAGTGGACGGAGACATGCTGCTGGGGCTGGAGTACAGCATTGGCGACAGGGGTGAGTCGTCATCAGGTACCTCATCCAGCTCCAGGTTAGCCAGGATTGGGGACAGACGACCGCTGAGCGTGCTGGCGTTGGAATTTGTCCGAGAGCGGAAGTCTGTCCAGGCATCGAGCTCGTCGCTGCTGCGGGAGGTGGGACTTCCTGTCCATTTGGAGAGGCTCGAGGAGCTCTCAGAGCTCCCATCTTGAGCAACCTGCAATGAGGCTTTTTTCTTTGTGGCACGTCCTCTGGCTCCTTTGATGTACTTGCTGTTATCCATCGACACAGCCCTACGCCTGGGAGCTTTACCTCCTTTCCCACCTTCTGGGTTGACCATCCACCAGGAGCTTTTCCCAGTTCCTTCATTCTGGACTTTCACAAAACGGCTATGGAGGGAAAGATTGTGTCGGATGGAATTCTGCAAAGACAAATGATTAAGAAAACTTAAGCATTAATATAACTTTCCCAGTATGAGCAATAATTCATAAAAAAAAAATCTTGTGTACATGATACGATTAAGTATTAAATACTTTTAGGAGCTTCAAAAGCTTTAACGAGATGTGACCTACAAAGTGGACCAAGTCAGAATGTGTGTTCCTGCTGCATCTGTTAGTGTTGTTCTCAAACTTCAGTCAAGCTTAAAACTACAAAAGATTATAACATTACAGTAATTGCAGAGCTCTATAACGGCCCAACAAAGGAACAATGAGCCAGATAATATAAATCACTACAACAGAATACAAAACTCAGTGCTGTAAGCAGACAGTGCTGTATTCTGTGTCCCCTACAAAACTTCTTAAGGTTTTGTTGTTCATCTACAGTACTACGTTTTCAGCATGGTGTGCAGTGTTCCTAAAATTTGAGGAAACTGGACAAATTGATGACAATAAAAAATAATAATAAAACCACAGGACTGAAATTATCTGAATTTTGTGTTCTAAATAGAGACACTGCTGACTTTTCAGATGATTACAAAAGACTAAAAGTCAGTGGCAAAAGGTATTATGTAGCTTGAAAGTTATGGTTCAAGTTGCTGTCAATATGTACAGTCGAGTGGTACAAGAGTGACTGTCTATAGCCATCTAGAAAACATGGTTGAGGCTCTGTCATGTTCTGGGCTGTGTTTTAGCTAGAGGTGTTGAAATCTTGGCAAATTGATGGAATCATAAATGCAATCAAGTATAGTTTGACATCACCGTGTGAACCACACCACCCCCCCCCCCCATCGGTCATAGATTGGCCTCCCCAGTGCCCAGACCTCAACATTACTGAGGCAGTGTGGGATCATCTTGACAGATAACTGAGCAAAAAGGCAGCAAACATCCAAAGAACTTCAGTCTCCTTCAAGAAGCCTGGAGACACATTCCCAAAGACTACTGAAATTCAAATTAAAGAAATGAGTGACTCAAGGATATTGCACAGGGTTAACTGTAATTTAACCCTTTAAGGCCAAGTGTATCAAAGATGATACATCTATATCAGTGTAAATATTCTGCAAAAAAAATATAGAAAGGAAAACAAGCCTGATGTAGCTAATATGATACAAATTTAAACTTATGCAAATTAACATTTATCGTTATTGCAAGACTCACTAAACAATCCATTAATAATAATAATGTTAAAAAAAAAGTTTTTGGGCTTTTATTTCATGGTTCCGGCTTTAAAGGGTTAATACAAAAGGACTAATTACCAATGCTGCAGTGTCTTCATAGACATTTCTTTGCACTGTGACCCATTTCTGGCTGCTCACAAAGGTCTACAGGATTTCCCTGGAGATGTTCCTTACCACGTACAAAATTAAACAGCTGGAGCGTGCACGCCCAGCCTGTCACACTTCAGTAACAGAGGGAGAAACTCCGCAGTGATCTCCATAACCCAGAGGCCAGCTTCACAGGGAGAGGCTTCAGCTCAATTCTCTAAAGCTTAAATTAACCTGATTTAACTCAAGGTCCCATTTAAACCCATCTCTAAGACGATTAAAGTTAACCGCTAAGCAAGCTCAACACAAAACAAACTACAGCAAGAGGAGACCAGAAATTGGTCTCATTAAGGCACTTGATCTGCGCTTTAATGACTGAGGGTTCTCAAACAAGCAGGTTTTTCCTCTTAATGCTTTGAGACAGTAAAGACCCACCAACAAGAAGCCATTCTAAGAGAAGCAGTAAGAAAAGGCTGAGGTATGCTAAATTACACGAGAACTGGGCTGATGACAGTGGCAACAGGTTTTATGGCGTGATGAACACAGTTTTTTTTTGTAAAGAGGCTCTGTCATACCATTTGATATGGAAGATTTGATTCAACATCTGGAAAACATCCTTTTGGCAACAGCTTCATTTTTCAGCATATCAGTGATTCCAAACATACTGCAGTAAACTCATACCTGATAAGTGTTTCACTGTTTTCTACTGAAATCTTATGCAATTGCATCTGGTCTTTGTGTTTACACAACAGATGAGCAGCCATTAGACCTTTTATTTCTGGTTAGAAATGCACTAATCCACTCATTTCCTGTCTATATCTATCTAGACAAAGTCAGAGTCTCTGCTACTACTGAATCAGTTTACATAAAAGCTATCTCACTGACAAGAACTCATTGGGTGAACAGACCACAGCGGTACACAAAAAAAAAAAGTTTGTCCATTAAAGCTAAATTTGATCAATTTAGAATTGCTTTCTGATATCGATCTATCCAGTGGGATTTGTGTATCCCTTTTCAGCTACATATTCTAACTATCAAAATGTTTACATGTAAATTTATCACTACCATGATATCCAATACCACACTTGTCAATGGGGCAAGTCAAATATTCCAACATGTTGCTTATCCCATGAGCTACAGGCAGAGAACACAATAACACCACCTGTCCCGTTCAATCTAATGCAATCCAATACAGTGGAGTTGCAACAAATAAGCCTCGGATACAGTCCGGTGTTGACACAGGAGGTTTTTCATTCAAGTCTGTGATCATTTATTAGGCTTTAAGATGTACTGTTGTTGTATTCAATTATTGGAGCAGGCAGATTTACAACCTCAAAATGCCCAAGGCACTGATACAACAAAATCTGAAGACTCAAAGGTGGTTTACTGCAGAAGTACTGAATTTTAAACATGCTTCTTTTATTGATTTCACTTCCTGTACACAACCAGTAAAAGACTGAAGCACCTTGTTAAAGATTTAAGGTAACCACATCCATATGAATAAAACCAATAGCAAACATACAGCAGCGTAACCTACCTGTCTGCCTCCTTAAGATGAAATTTTATTGGATATATGAAGGTATCCAATAAGCTTCACGGGCACGTACAGTACAAGCTGTACTGCATTTACAAGAGAAATCACAAAGAGCGAACTCCTGCCTTCCCCTCCCCCACACGCAGTCACAGTAGTGCTGCAGCACCCTTTGAGCAAAGCCTCGTTCTGAGCAGGGACTGGAGCAATGCCAGTTTAGCCAGAGCCAGATCCAAAGACAAACACTGAGCTTCTCTCATACTGCTACACATTGACCTACATAATTTATAGTCAGCTGATTGATTCTTGTGCCCAGGCATCATGAAAAGACAACAGCGGGGCTGAACCGCAGAGGGTTTGATGGACGTCCATACAGGGGCTGAATATTTAGTTTGACTTACAGCACTGGAGACAAAGCTCAAAACTGAAGGTGGTGTACTTTCAGTGTGCTGAATGAGATGTGTGACGGGTCTGAATTTAAAACCCATCTTTTCAACCCTGAACCTGCTGGGGACACTTTTGCCAGGCTCAACCTGAATGTCACACAGCTCCAAAGCATCGCCTAGGAAATGCTGATGTCAGCACATGTGAAACCCTGTTATTAACCCTTTCCTTTTCCAGTCAACATCTGCCAAGCTCAAATATGCATCAGGCAGCTTAAACATGAATGAAAACTGACATCTAGCAGTTTTGAGCATAAAGTAACTGATTCTTTGCAGATTAATCAGTTTCACATGTTCAGAGTGATGTTTTTATTTCCCCTTCTGTAAATGCAGCAATTTTAACCAGCACAATTTAACCAGTGTGATTCATTCAAAGAAGCTGCTCACTGGAATCAGCTTGCATTGCATATCCAGTTGTGCAGGATTACACACACACACACACACACACACACACACACACACACATTCCATGACAGATGAATTGGTTTGGTCCAGGCCAAACTAATCCTGAAAATCAAACACAAGCAAGGCCCGGCTGAAGCTTTGGTGAAGTCTGTGCTGCAGTCTGAGCAGTATGTCTGAAAGTGAAATCAACTTTGCATTGCACGTCTTTTGGGTTTCAACTTTCAAACAAGCCGCTTTGTTCTCAGAGGTTCGTCTGCATCCTTAATTTTAGAGGCATAATGAAGCGTGTAATGTGATACGCATTACTACAACTACACTGGTTTACATATAGTTACACCATGTGCCGTTAGACTGCCACACATTTTCAGATCCCCTGCTGATAGGAGGAGATGTTTGATAAATAAATGTGTATAGCCAGTAACTGATGAGACTACAGGTTTGTGATTGCACCTACTGCCTCCATCTCAGAATTAAAATGAGCTTTGTGCATTGCATGTCTTACAGGACAAGTTAAAAAAAAAAAAATAAAAACACTGGTCTTTGTTATGATGAGCCCCAACACATCACCGCTCACCTTCCAGCCAGCAGAGCTGTTGCTATCGCCTTTGTCCTTGAAATATGGCACGGATCTCACCATCCACTCATAGATTTGGGACAAGGTCAACCTTTTCTCAGGGGAGCTCTCGATGGCTTGGGTAATGAGGTCTGCATAGGAGTAGTTGCCCCAGGCATTCCTGCGGGCGGAGGACTTCCTCAGCTGCTGGGTGGCAGAACCGCTCGGAGCTGCTGCGGGGGTTTGCGCCGAGGACGGCGAGCCGTCGGCGGTCTCCTCTTTGGATGGGCCCCGCTGGACCTCCACCGGCTGGGAGATGGAGCTGCTGCTGCTCGGCTCTCGGGTTTTAATAGCGCCGCCGCTGGCTTTCTGAGCAGCGCCGCTCCCCGTGCTCCCACCCTCATCATCCTCCTCTTCGGGGATTACGTCAGTGTCATTTGCCCCGGGCTTGCCCGCACCAGATTCCGGACGGGGCAGGGGCCAAGTGCAGGACCGTGGCCGCTTCTGGGGCTCGAAATCCGGATCTATCTCAACGTTTAGAGGCGGCTCGTTGCCGTTGCGCGACGCCTCAGCCATGTTGGTCGTAATTTGTCGGGGGTTGCACAAAGGGTTATAAAATCACTCGGGTCGCATTCCATCAATGTCGCGTGCAGGCTTCGTGGACAGTTTATTTACTATGCAAGTGTCCCTTCCTGAAGCTCGGTCCCAGCACGTGTCAGTCTATCAGTCCTCCTGCACGGCGTCCGTCCGCAACACACGGAGCAGCTGGAGCTCACCACAATCACCAGAACATCGCCTTTTGTCGTGCTAAGCCCACACCCTGGCCAACATGCATTGCAATTTCGTGAACTGTGGAGTGAAAAGACGTGAAGCGTACGCGGAGCCTCGGAGGAATCCAAAACTGCGTTCCTTCACAAGCGTCCGCGTCCCGCACGGCGATCCTGCATGACAAAGGGAAAAATCTTAAATGTACACGCACGCTGCATCTAATGCCACCACATCAGTTTCATCACTCCACACAGCTGCCATCTTGACCATTTCACTTCCCCAAGTTCTTAATCAGCCGTGCTGTGGAGCTGCCAGTCGCTTGAGCGCTGCAGTCCAGATACCATCAAGGCGATTAGGGGACGGTTTCTTAAGGGCCTGCACCTTCTTAAAAATGTGGCTGCTGGGAAAATGCACCGAGCCTAAAAATCCGCCCAGTTAAGAGCTGAAAAATAATGATGCTGGCTGTAGTCTAGCATCCCGGACGAAGTAGCACGGTGTCCTCCGTGTGCCCAGCTGCCTGCAAACACTTCATTCAATCTGCTGCTGCGGTTGGCGCAAACGCTCAGAGCCCAGGAGAAGAGGGTTAAAAAAGGAAAAAAGCGATCCTGCCCCCTGGACTGCACTGAAATTAAAGCGACAGTGTAGAGATGTCCGCTCGCCAATGACATCACCTCTAATGTCCCCATCGGAGAGTATCCAGTGCGCAAAAATTAACGGTAAAACTGGATTTTATTCACTTGAATATTACACGAAAAAAAGAAAAGAAAAAGGGAGCAACAATGTTTACATAAAAATCAGGAATGCAGGGGAAATAACTGGATGTCAGAATATATAGGTCATCTTTAAAAAATACAACCAACCCAAACTAACCTGAAAAACTGACTGTACCGTTAAAGTTGATAAATATGTGCATTTTACCCAAATATGCCTTTAAGTTCCTCCCACACTGCCAGGAATACAGTCCTAATATACTCGACTGGCATTAAAAACATTTAAGCCAAAGCAAAAACCTATACATTTCCACCAAAAAGGTAAAAGTATAGAATAAACAAACATGCTCCTCACAATAGGCTGTTGTTTTTGTCCCCTACTCAGATATGCAGTTTCTAAACATGTCATTTTCCTATCTGAAACCAGAGCTAGATATAGTCAGGTCCTGACAGCAACCGTTTACGGAAATTTGGTGGTTATACTGACCTGAAGAATGTCAGCTGCACACCTACCCACACAGCCTCTGATGTTTTTCCAGGTCAAAGATTGTTATCTGATACCCGATCTTTGATAGCCAATACAGATTTAAATCTGAGTTAACACACACACACACACACACACAAAAAAAAAGAAAACCACACAGATTTTGAATGGACCCACTATTTAAAACAAAAACACCCCGGCAGTGTACAGAAAATGGAACTGAAGAGGTAAAAATATTTATAAATTCCTTTTCACTGGAGTACATTTCTAGATATCGACCTTGGTATTTGTTGCAGACACTTCACAATAGCAAAACCACCAAAATTATTTTTAAAACCTGCTTAAAGGGAGAGTTTCCCCAACGTCAGAAACTATTCAACTCTTAAGCCATATTGCCAAAATGAATCTAAAAGCCAATAAAGTAATCAAACACTTGTGTTTGCATAAATATCTAGTCAGCCAATCACATGGCAGCAACTCAGTACATTTACACGTGTAGATATGATTAAGACAACCTTAGGTAGTTCAAACCAAATATCTGGATGGAGTAGAAAGGTCATTTAGGTGACTTTGAACATTATATAGTTGATGGTACCAGATGTGGTGGTACCATTTCAGAAACTGCTGATCTAGATTTTCCCACACCACCATCTCAGGAGATTACAGAATGATGGTCCAAAAAGAGAATATCTGTAGTCCACAGCAGCTCTCTGGGTGATGGGATCTTGCTGGTGCTTAGAGTTGATAAAAGGCAACAGTAACTTAAATAACCACTCAAAGGTATACAAAAGAGCATCTATTCTGCATGTTGTCCTTCACCAAACTTTGAAGAAGACGGGGTATAGCAGCAGAAGAGCATACTGCTTGACACTCCTGTCAGAACAGAGAACTGAGGCTACACTTCCCATGGGCTCAGTAAAAGTGGACGACAGAAGATTGGAAAAAAGTGGGCGAGTACTTGAAACACTTTCAGATTCTCCGCTTATCTCTTACATTATACTGTGACAGAGCAGTATAATACAAATATAGATGATTATGATATTTTTAAAACATGTTTATTTGTTGATTTGCAATTGCTAAAGCAACAGTAGTTCACTTGCTATCTAAGCTATCCATCTGTGTTAGCATTCTGTGACAGTTTAAGTAATTAATGCAGTTAAAGCAAATTCACAATGATAAATTGCTAAATTATTTTATTATGTTGCAGGTTCAGGGTTTTGCTTTTCCTTACTTACCACAGTTTTCCTCTCCTTGCCCTCCATACTGGTCAAGTGTGTTAAAATTCGCCCCGTATGTCCTGACTTTTATAGTGCAGGTGATGTCATTTTGAACCTTGCTGGGCAAAACCAAGTGGAGGGCTTTTCTTGTGTGGGAATGTTTTCTGTTGTTTGTTTAATGGATTATGGAACAAATTGTTGAAAGAATTTGTCCATATAGGAAAGAGTTTATCAATGTTAATGCACTAATGCTAGGCTAGTGAGCGGTGTGTGATCTTCATATGTTCATGTTGGTTGCCATGTTTACCCGCCTGAGGTATTGGTACTGGCCAGACCAATTAGACGCGAAAACAGCCCTATATATAATCAGTCAACATTAGCTTTAGAAGAAGATAGGTGCTATTTCCTGCTTAGATTATGTAGCTTTTGTTAGAGTTAATTTGGGGCACCAAAAATTAAATTTAGGCCCAAGTTTCACATGTGACAGAAAGCTGTAAATTACTTGCTTCAGGGAACTCAAAATGTTTGCTGGTGGTGTAATGGTTCCATTTTGGCACACTTTGGCCCCTTGTAACAAATGAGCACAATGTACCCATCTTATGATGCTCAAATTATCTCAAACTGGTTTCTTGATCATGACAGTGATGTTCACTGCACTCCCCAGTCACCAGATCTCAATCCAATAGAGCACTTTGGGATGTGATGGAATTGGATATTCATATTATGAATGTGCACCCAAGAAATCAGCAACTGTGTGATTGTATCATGTCAAAATCTCTGAGGGACGTTTCCAGCACCTTGTTTAATTAATGTCACAGGGGGTCCAACCCAGTACTAGCAAGATGCACCGAATAAAGTTGTTGCCAGTATATTTAAATAGAATAACATGACACAATGAAACTGCGTTTGAATGACTCACTGTACAATACTTTTTCATATGAGCATTAAATCTTATCAGGAGTATTGTTATTGCTAACCTCACTGTCACGTTCAAAATGAATCAGTGAAATGCTGATTAAAAAAAGGACACGAGATCTAATTTATGCAGAAAAACTGTGCTTGCATTGGTAACGCTTTTGTTTGTACAGGAGATATACTCATGTAGTTTTTTTTTTCTTCTCACTTTCACTTCCCACACAGTGCAGTCTTTGTTTCTGTAAGGCTGTGTGCATTATTGTATTTAAATAAACGGAGGATGAATGCAAGCAGAAAGCAGTTAAATATCAACCTACGCCAACACTGAAACGGTTTCATTTGTGGGGACAGATGTACAAAGCTATTGTGCCATATAAGTAATATTCAGCTGACATGGTTTGCTTTTCTTTTTCCGTCTGGCGAATGAAGACACTGATGAAGAGTCAGATGGTGCCATTCATTCTCTGCAGCATCTGCAAAGCTTTCTGAGATAAACATTTCACATGCACAGGCTAAATAAATCACAACTCGAATAAACACACGGCTGCAAATCTCCAAACCAGTCTGCTGCCATTGTATTTAGATGTGTTAAGATCATATACAATTCATTTCATTTTCAAACCGTAGTGTATCTTAAAATAGATCCAATTAAAATGTCCCTTAAATCTTCATCAAAGTCCTTTTGGATTACTTTTCCAAAAGTCGTCCAGCTGATTTCCCACACATCAAAAAAAAGTGAAGTTGGACCTCAAAAATGTCACCAAGTTAAAAGCAATAACTCAAAGTTCATCTTATAAATCCTCCTTAAAGTGCAATGTCGCAATAAAATGATTAGATAAGAATAAATACTCTGCACTACAATTGCACACACGCACAGAGATGAGGAGTTCCACTGGGTTTGTGCTGCATAAGATGATGATGATGAGGAGGAGTGTTCAGTTCTGGGCTGTTACAGGCAGCGAGGAGTGCAGATTAAGGCGCACCAAGTTTGGTAACACTGTTTCCTTTCTAAATGTTACGCCTGTGATTTCATGCTTCTGTCCCCCTCCAGCCAATATTCTTCTGTCTGCATCTCTGTGAGTCGGGACACGGTCCTCTGGAAGGCAAATTTTTCCTCTTCGCCGCTGAAGATGGACAGACTGCTGGCTTCTTCCTGTTAGACATTGGACATGTTACAGTTTACTTACACACGACTTTGGGGCAAAAAAAGCCATTAATCAAATGGTGGCAGTCTAATAAAACGATACAACCTCCTCACTCTCAGATCTTTCATCTTTACATGTTCACACAGATTATTCTATTTTTACACTCGTTCAGTGTTGTATTTATGGGTTTAATAGTTTCCAAATTAGATGCTCCAAAAGTAAAAATTGGATTTTCATGAAGTGGAAAATAAAATCTGTGGAACCACTAACTTGAATAGATAAATTTTAAGTTAGTATTTCTATTTTGGTAAAAATTATTTCTATGGTAACATGCTTCATCTCTCTTCTGACACAGGAAACAAAACAACCTGTAGTCTTAAATGCTTTTAATTCTTGACTAAGCTACTTAACTTTTACAGACCTAAAGTTAAGTTTGCAAATCTCATAAACCAGCATTTTATTCACAATAGAGCAAACCAACCATATCAAAGGTTTAAACAATGAAAACGTTCAGTGTGAAGAAAAAAAGAACTCATTTTGAATCTGAAGCGACGGCACCATGTTTATCACTGTGTAGCAATCTCTCTTCTTTTAACAACAGTTTGCAAACATCTGGGAACCGAGGAGTCCAGCAGGCTTTTGGGAGAGATATGTTGTCTTATATGCGATGTGAGCCTTTGGTCCTTGTGGGCAAGCATTGTGTTGCTGAAATAGCCGAGACTTTGTTTAGATGGGAGCACATGCCTTTGGGCCCTGAAGATCACAAACATCCAACATTGATACAAAACTGTACCATCAACCCCCAAACGGTCATTGCACATGGCTGCCCCTCCCTCAGCCTGGTTTTTCCTTCCCACTGTCACCAAGGGGGTTCACTTGATTGTTGGGGTTTTCTATGTATTACGGTAGGGTCTTTACTCTATAATATAAAGCGCTTGGTGGCTGCTGTTGTGATTTGGTGCTATAAAAATAAAACTGAATTGAGCTGATTTTTAGCCTCGTCTCTTACACATGGACCTTCAATTTTACATTCAAGGTCATTATTCTGAATTTTTCTACAATTTGTGGGTTTTTTTGCAGATCTCTGCCCATCTTTACTTTTGAGAAACAGCCTTTCTAACACGCACTGTTTATACTCAGTCATGTTACCGACGTGTTGCTAATAAACATAATTAGCTGCAAATGTTCCTTCCAGCGTTCTTTTTAGTATCCCTCACTTTTACAGCCTTTTGTCATCCCCGTGGCAACCTGTTTGAGACATGCTGCTGCCATAAAATTCAACATGAGGTAATAATTTTAAGGAAATAATAAAATGTGTCAGTTTAAACATTTTAAAGTTTTATGTTTTACTGTGAATACGATTTGGGTTTATGAGATTCGCAAATTCTGTTTTAAATGGCATTTCACACAAAAATGTACACATTAATTTCCACTATTTTATGTTACTGATACACTTCAAGGATGGACTTGTATTTTTTCTAATAAAAAAAGGAAGAAGGAAGGAACAAACTGATATACTGGTTAAAATGATTCTTACAGTTTACACAGTATGTGCTGACTTACTTTTAGCTGTGTGCTCTGGGTTTCATTTACTGTCAGCCGTAGGCCACAGAGGCCTTAATCATCTGTGTTTACCACCAAAATTACCCAAATCTGGTTTCTCTGTGGAAACAGAGTCACAGCTTACCCTTTTCAGCCCCAGGTCATCCATAAGGATGTGGCCCTCGTCGTGGCTGTGATCCCCATCTTGTACAAAAATATCCTCCAGCGGGTGATCTGCGAGGATCACCACACGTACCTGAAACGAGACAAATTTAGTGTTAAATTCCCGTGTTTGGTGTTTTAGCGCAGATTTAATGTGCATACAAACAAATGAAGGAATCGTACCTTGTGTTCATAGAGGGCATCCACAAGCGTAATGAGCCGCCTGGCTTGAGTTTTTTTGTTCACGGTCAGCAAAGGAATGTGTCGAATGAAGACTGTGTCAAACAGCCTGGATATCTCTAGGTAGTCACTCGCTCCTAAAGGCTGGAACATTTATATTCAAACATATGTATGAGGTGTCCACAAGCAAGACTTCCCGCACTGGTTTGAGTCATTTTTTCATTTCCATAAGTTTTTCACCAAACTACACTTTGCATAAAATGTTTACTAGAAACTTCAGACTCTGCTGCTTTGTATTAGTCATTTTCTTTCTCTTGAGCATAAGCAGAACCAAAAGCGAGTCAGTCGTTTAAACAGACCCCTTTCATTTCCCATCATTGTGAAGGAAACCAACTAGACTAAAATGCAGGGAGAGGTACATAAAATAAAATACATCTGAATTTATTTGATGTGACGTTAAAGCAATAAAAACTGGTGCAGTAAACATCTGATAACAAGTGTTCGAGGGCTTTGCAGCAGGACTTTGTCATCAGTATGCAGAAAACCAGTCATACTGCAACTCTGAAAACACACACAGCTGCACGTTTTTACTAGCAATGGGAAACTAGTAGCTCAAGATTGTGGCGAGTGGTTTGCAAATTTGAAGGAAAAAAAACAAAACAAAAAATACTGCACTCTTGTGGTTGAGCATACCATTGATTTCCCTTTTTAATAATAGACTTCTGATACAAAGTCAAAACAAGCCCAATTTGTGCCATAAAATAAAGAAAACTCCTTTTTCTCCCATATTAAACCTGCCATACCACATAATCTAAAAATAAAAGATGACAAACAGTAAATATAACATATGATCCATCACACAGTGTGTCTGTAAAAGAGACTCACTCTATCACAAAGCTCCTCAAACGTACAGTCTGCGATGGTCCCGCACGCTTTGTTCAGACGGACTTTTCTGTTGTGGACGTTCAGAACTCTTGGTCGTGTTACTGCAGAAAACATTATGTTCAGCACTTTATATAATGAGCAGGTCATCAGTAAAATGCTGCAGTGACAGAGTGCTATTTTGAAAGCAGACTTACTGTCATTCTGTTTAAAAGACAGCTCGTCAAACATTTTATCGAGGGTCGTTTCTGCATCAGGTTCACTGGAACTGCAACAGATGTAACAGGGAAACATTAAATAGGAAAAACAGTGCAAACCACACAAAACAAAATCATCCCCCTGTCTTGTTTTACAGTGAGCATTTCTTACAGGAAGTAGAGTTTTCCAGATGAGGGTCTATTCTGTTTGCGGTAGTCAATCCCAGAGTCCAGGCGAAGAGTATGGCAATATTTCTGCAGGAGGAAAACAAACATTTTACAGATAAATACTGCGATGCCTCAGCAGCAAAAGGTGACTTCACTTTACCTGCAACACTGCAATAAAAGGCACAAAGTTGACTCTCTGCAGGCCGTTTTTATACAAGTCTGAGAAAACAGAAAGAAAAAAACATTGTCACATTTGCTGTTATCTGGCATACATCTAAATGGCTTTCAAAGTGTTATAGAAGACCGATTACGCTTTCTTGTTTTCTGTAATTTGTAGCCTCAAATCACATTTAAGCTTGTAAACGTGGTCAAGATGACCTGATCATGTTCAAACCAAGCGTCAGAATGAAGAAGAGGGGGGACTTAAGCGACTATGAATGTGGTGTGGTTGTTGGTGCCAGATAGGCTAGTCTATTTAAGAAACTGCTGGTCTCCTGGGATGTTCCCACACAATCATCTCTAGGGTTTACAGAGAATGGTCCAAAAAAATGAGAAAATATGGCATGCGCAAATTCAGTGGGTGAAAATGCCTCATTGACTCAGAGCTGACTCAGGTCACAGGAAAGTGGCCAGATTGCTTTAATGTGACAGGAAACTCAAATAACCACTTGTTACAACGAAGGTATGGAGAAGAGCATTTCTGAGTGTTTCTATCGCCTCTGAGGAATATTTCCAGCACCTTGTTGGATCTCTACCACGAAGAATTAAAGCAGTTCTTTCCAACCTCATACTACCAAGCTGTACCTAATAAAGTGCTTGGTGGGTGTATACTCTATACTGTTACAATTTAATTCGGATATCGAGGTCACTGGATGTAAAATTAACCCCTGTGGGTTAAAACGCTCTCAGTTTCCAACAGTTTCTTTTTACTCTTGGCTCTCTGTGGTGTCAGTGTGAGCAGATACTCGTAACATCATCGATTCAGGCTCCTAACATTATGGATTTAGCCACAAAACAGCTCAGCCCACTTGCTGTCCAAACCTTGTGCTTGAAAGGGTCAGCCAGTAAGAAGAAAGCTGGCTTAAAAGGAGGGCGAAGTGAGGTAAAATGACTCGTTTTAAACAAATGATGAATGAGTAAGACAAATAACAGTTTGACATAGCATAACTGTTACAAATTTTAAATACAGTGGTCCCTCGTTTATCGCGGGAGTTACATTCTAAAATTAACCCGCAATCGGTGAAATCCGCAAAGAAGCCAGCTTCATATTTTACAATTATTCTAGATGTTTTAAGGCTGTAAAACCCCTCACTACACACTTTATACACTTTTCTCAGACAGGCATGAAGATTTTCACACTTTTCTCTCTTGTTTAAACACCCTCAAAGTTCAAACCTTCATAGAAAAATAAGTCCAGTATTGTAGAATGAAACCAAAGATCAAACCCTGTTTTCAGGTCCAGAACATGGGAATAGAGCAGCTGCGAGAGAATTCAACATTAATGAATCAGTGGTACGGAAGTGGAGGAAGCAAGAAGGATGAGTTGAGATAAGTTTGACTTATCTGACTGTTTGGTTTCGCCTAATGTGCCTTATATTCCAAAAAATACGGTAACTTCTACCTTCCTTAACCATGTCCAGAAGTCCTACTTTTTATGCGATGGATAGCATCTTCCTCTGCCTTTTGGGAGCTACCGCAGGCGCCTTTGACGGTGCAAAACGTTTTATCGACATTGTTGTGTTTGTTGGGGAGAAAACTTACAAACATACAGTACAGCACTTCAGAGTCACACTGCTAGCGATCGAAGATTTATGTAAATTTGACAAGCTGAACGCATTCTGTACTGGACAGGAGACGCAGCACGAGTTTGATTGACAATAATAATAACTTTATTTATAAAGCGCTTTCAAACAAAGTGCTGTACAATTAAAGAGATAAATAAAATAAAAGTGATACATAGCAATACAGGTAAAAGACACAATACAAGTTAAAAACAGTAAACATTTAAAAACTAAAAGCCATAGAATTAAGACATGTAGGATAGGGTGAACAAATGTGTCTTCAACTTAGTTTTAAAAACCTCCACAGAGCATGCCTGCCAAATATCTTGAGGGAGGTTGTTCCACAGAAACAGGGCACGAAAAGAAAAAGCACGCTCTCCAATTGTCTGTTTTCTGGCTCTAGGAACTTTTAAAAAGGCCAGAGTCCTGAGATTGTAGAGCACGAGATGGGACATAAAGGTGTAAAAGGTCAGAGAGGTACGAAGGTGCCAGTCCGTTTAAAGCCTTGTAGGTGAGCAGCAGGACCTTAAAATCTGCTCGAACCTGACAAGGTAGCCAAAGCAGAGATCTAAGAACAGTGGTAATGTGCTCAAATTTCCCAGTTCTTGTTAAAATGCGAGCAGCTGCATTTTGCAATGGTCTACAGCCAATCAGGACGCAGAACACAATGTGCTGTAACAACAACAAAAATAAAAAGCATGCAAAATTGCACAAAATAAATAAATAAATAAATAAATCAGTGAAATAGCGAGGCCGCGAAAGGTGAACCGCGTTATAGCGAGGGACCACTGTAACACAATATTTATTATTGCAGTTGTTTTTGTCAAATGATGTATGCACATGTTTACTTTAATATGATGAATAATTTCCTGAATGTGATTATAGCTTATACATTTCTGATTACAATCCCATAAGATTGTGCTTTAAAGGCATTATTTGTTTTTTTTATGTAAACCAAAGGAGTTTTAAGCCGTGTTAAGAACACATTTATAATCATATTACACTAGACATTACTTACCTACAGGCGGACGATTAGAAGTAGCCACAACAACAACACCGTTTAGAAACAGATTCTCAAAAAGCTGCTTGAGAATCATGGCGTCTGCAATATCAGTGACCTGAAATGTGGGTAACGCACAACAACATGATTGTTACATGAGGTTACATGTTATAGAGACTAAATGTTTTTTTTCCAAGATGATTTAAAAGTACCTGAAACTCATCGAAGCACAACAGACAAGCCTCCTCACTGATTTCCTCTGCAACCGGAGCAATGGGATCATAAGACTTGGCCATTTTTCCTGCTTTCCTTTTTGGCATGCTCTGTTTCAGCCGATGAATCCCTGTAGATTGAAAAGATAAATGCAGTTACTGTTAATCGTAAGTCTGTAAGAAGAGACAAATACAGATCCCAGAAAAACCAAGTGGAAAATGCAAACTACCACATTCTTACAATATTATAATATTAAATATTTTATGTATAATAAGCATGCAATAGGGTTAGGGTAACATATATTGTTTTGCACAAGACTCTTTCTCTTCTATATGGCTTTCTGCACAGGATATTGGACAAAGTTGCCATTATTAAATAATTGTTTCTGCACAACTTTCTCTCACATCGTTGTGCAGGAATTTTGCGCCCTCCTCTTTACAACATACGTTTCGTTCATTGAGGTTTGTGGGGTTTTTTGTTCATTCCCAACCCTCTTAATGTCCCACCACAATATTTCAGTTAGCGTGAGGTCTGGATCATTACAACACTGATTCTTGTCTTCTTCAGCTGTTCTGTTGCAGGTTTCCTGGTGTTCTTGGGATCGCTTGTTCTTGGTCCAGTTTGGACCGAGCTTTAGCTGTTGGACAGATGGCCTCACATTTGACTCTAAAAGGCTTTGTTATAAAGATGAATTCACGGTCAGCTCAATGAGCACAGTGCCCAGGTCCTGTGGCTGCAAAGCAAGCCCAAATAATCACCCCTCCACCGCTGTGTTTACAGTTGTTATGAGGTGTTTGTGCTCATATGCTGAGTTTAATTTGCTACTTACCCTCTTAATTGCTATGGAAGCAGTAAGGCTGTACTTAGAGTCCTCTTAAATCTTTCGTTTCACATGACTGTATGTGAAGTACTGCTTAAACTGGAGGAAATACTACAGTATTTCAAAGGTAAATGTTTTGAATCTCCACAAATCAAATCACAGAGAAATAAATTTAAAAAACAAAACTGTGTCTCATGCTAGAGCTTTTACCATTAGTGACAAGTGGATTTTCGTAAATACACAAAAATCCTTACACAGCTACGTTTAAGTGGCAGGAGTGGCACGATATATCCAAATGGATTATGTACTGATGTAGAAAAAAAAAATATTTGCAATCTTCTTTAACGGCACAGATACAAGAGACTTGATTTATCTGGAACAAAACTCCAGTATTTCTTTTTGCCAATAAAACAAACACACCTTATCTTCCCCCACATGTTCACTAGAAGCAGAGAAAGTCCAAAGTTGCATTGATAAACACAGCTCACCCCCCTTTTTCTCTTAAATGCAGCTTAACTAACAACTCTACTCACTTTTATGCACGTCTAACATAAAACCATGGAAATGAACCCTCTTTTTGTTCTCAGTCTCCACATATGAATAAAACATGTCCATGACCATCGTTTTCCCCGTGCCTGAAACAAACAAAACAAAAAGATCTTCTGAGTTTGGAAAAAATCTTAATTTCATTACATTGAGATATGCAATTCTGTGAGTTCCATGGCTTACCAACATCACCGTAGATGTAGTAACCTTTGGGAGGCTTTGGTTTTGTGAAAAACTAAAAGATGCAGAGACAAGTAAAAATGAGCAAAAATCATCATTATAAACTAATATAGACAAATAGATGGCAAATTATTTAGGAATCTTTCACTAATTCCTTTTTTTAAAGTGTGACCTGAACAAAGCATGCCCAACACACAGGCTTTTTTTTGAAGGAATCACACCCAGTAAGAGCGCAAGTTATGTCAACAAAGCCTACAGCTGATGAGACTGAGTAAGAAGATAAGAGAAACACTGCAGAGTCAAATTTTAAAAAGGCATGCTGCTGAAATTATCAGCAAAGAAGATGAAGCATGAAAGAGAGCCGCTCTTACGTTCCTCAGATTTATGTCACACAGTGGTAACCTGACGAATGTGAAAAACAGAGCACAGGCAGGGTGGAGTGTGTTGACAGGATGGACAAGCTGGACCAGAAAGAGTACATCAGAGGGGCAGCTCAGGTTGAGCAGTTTGGAGACAAAGTTAGAGAGGAGAGGCTGAGATATTTTGGACATTTGCAGAGGAGGGACAGTGGATATATGGGATGAAGGATGTTGAATATGGAGTTTTAAGGCAGGGGGAAAAGAGGATGACCACAGAAAAGATTCATGGATGCAGAGGGTTGGTGTGACAGAAGAAGATACTAGGAGCAGGGTGAGATTTAGGCAGATGATCTGCTCTGGCAACCTCTAACTGGAGGAGCAACAGAAGAAGATGAAGACAAAGTACTAAACTGAAAAACCACGTTTCACAAGTCATCATTAACACTGGACTTTCTGTGTTAATGTTTTTGAATGTGAAACGGTCACATGTAGAGCAGCACAGTGGTGTAACTGTTAGCACTGTTGTACCCTGGGGCCTTTTCAGTTTAATGCATAGTTATTTATACTGCACCAAATCAAAAGAGCAGTCACCTCAAGGCACATATTACATAGTAAGACACAGTTTTCATGTGCTCAAACGGCTTCTCTCCGGGTACACCAGTGTCAAGTGGGACTGGCTCCAGTGCCTGAATTGAATAAGCAGAAAATGGATGGATGGATAGATGGACAGGAAATAGGGAAAATATATGAAATTTATGGTAGGTAACATGACCAAAGGGACCCCTGTATATATAATCCATCCATCCTCTTTCACTTATCCAATTCAGGGTTGTGGCCAACCCCAGCTGCCATAGTTGAGCACAGGGCTAACACATGTGAGCTACCACTCACATGCACACCTATGAACAATTTAGAATTACTGGTTAACCTAACCCCGCTAGGAAGCCGAAGTACCCAGAGAAAAGATACACAGACACGGGGAGAACATGCAAACCCCACACAGAAACGCTCTGGCAAGATGGTGGATTCAAAGCTAGGACCTTCTTGCTGTGAGGCAACAGTGCTAACCCTCCCTCCACTACAGCCACCTACCTGAGTACCTTAGGTCTGAATACCTAAGTATCCTTATGCAAGATGCCCCATTCATTGGAGTGTGAATGCTACACAATAACAGCATTTTATTACTCCAAAACCTTTGTGATACTCTGTGATGCAAAAACACTTCATAATTTGGATAATAACTAAGTTAAAGGCTGAGTAAAGTTGGACAAATGTAAAGATTAATCTCTAATATTGCCAACATTGTAAACCACGTTGCTCTGCACTAATATTCACTTAATATTATTATATTAATAATAATAACAACATAAGTTGGGGCATGCTTCTACCTACCCTGGAGAAGACAGATGTCGGGGTGTTGCTGTATCCTCTCAGAGTTTTGTGCAGCTCGTCCAGTTTCTGCATCACTGCTTTCTGGTGCTCATCCTCCCGCAGCGTCCCATCTCTGATCAGCCCGGTGTAGTGATCCAGGGGGCCGCTGAAGCCGGCGGCGCTAACACCGCTCTCCTCCTCCGCCTGCCGGACTTTCACAGAGTAGCCTTAAAAACCGTAACAACACGCACGTTACCGATAAGTTAGCTCTCCGCAAAGCTTTTAGACCACTACGACAACGATTTTTTGGGTGACTCGGACAGTAACGATAACGTTGCTCTGGTGGGCGAATAGGAAGAATTAGCGGGTAACGACTCTGACAGCTCAAAGGGCAGGAAAAACCGACAAGCATAACAAGGTAAGTTTGAACAAAACCTCAAAAATATGCATTATGCCAGGTTAACGTGGAAAAGCGTACACTAACTAATTATGTTAAGTAAAAGTAGGACAAGGTTATGATTAGAGCCGCGGACGGTTACTTTAAACAGTCTAAACTGACTGAAAACAAACCTCACCTCTTCTGTGGAACTCGCTGAGAGATTTCAGCAGCTTTCCGGAGGAATGTTGCTCTTTAAAAAGAAGCCTTAAGCCCAAAGAAGCTGAGGGTGACATCTTCATAGACAGCGGTACGCGCGCCGCCATCTTGAATTCAAATTCTGTCAATCAAACTTTATTAGCAATGACATTTTCTGTCGTTTTTCGGCCAACAGGAGGCGACAATTCACCATGCCAGATTATTTAACAGCACCTTTCATTATATACTGTCCGTATAAAAATAAATACGAAAAACGTAAGTAAAATAATATTGCATTTTAATTATGCGTAGTAAATGTGCTATTGCATCCTAAAAATACATTTTCAAAGGCTATATTATTATTGCGTGTTGCCACTTCATAATGTTATACACTTAATACATCTCTGGGGTTTCGGCTAGTAGTCAGGCAAAAGAAGACCTCTAAAAGCATCACTTTCAGCTCTGGGAAATTGCGTGTTGTTCGCTATAATTACTTAATTTAAAAATGTATTGCTAGATAATTTCTTGAATAATTAAAAAAAAACTAATTTGCCTAAATCTCACGCTGCACGCACACCTGATTTGTCCTCTGTGACTGTAATATCAAGTGCAGCAGTATCATTGACTTCACTGTATGACTGTAGGGGGTAAATTAATGCCAGATATAGTCTTTCTTCGCCCACCCGGAGTAAAAAAAAAAAGGGAAAAAAGGCGTTTATTCAAATTAATGAGTAATACATTTGAAACACAAAATGATAAAACATGCGATCTTCACAGCAAAAATCCACATGGAATTCTGTAAAATCTTCCTATTTTCACAATAAGATTTTAATGTTAACATGATTATTTTGGACAGCAGCTATTTATTTTATTCACTGTAACATATCACAAAAAAATTTCCTGCAGCTCCAGCAGCTCCCTGGTGTTGTTTTTACAAACAGAAAGCCCAAATATATTCAGCGTGCTCTCATGCATAACAAAGAAAAGCCCTGATTCCTCTCATCTGGAAAGCTCGAAGCAGGAATTTTTAAAACATTTTTTTATAATCTGGGTCATTTTTACTTAAGAACATGACTAAGATGATCATTTTGATAGACGTTATAGGTTGATGAATTTATCAACAATTCACCAAAGATCTAAATATAATTTAAGTATAAACCATTTAAAAGCTCACAATAACGCTGAAACAAAAAAAGAAAAGAAAAAAAGAATCGTGTTAAAAATAAATAAATAAATAACAGATATTTAATTTTTATATCAACTGACAGATGCAAATCTGTCTTGGGTCTAATTGTGCCTCCGAAGCACTGAGCCTGGGTTGCAGACAAAACATGGCAGACAACTGTCAGGGCTTACAGGCTTGTTGCCATGACAACAGAGGAGCACTTCTCCCTCTCTCTCCGTCTCTCTGTCTCTTTAATGCACACACACACTGTCACTCGCTCTCTGTCTGTCTCTGTTGTACACACACACACACACACACACACACACAAACACACACACACAAGCACACAGACATATATACAGTATTACAGTGGAATCCGCCTTGCTCTGAGATCTGTGCTCTGCTACTGGTAGCAGAAGAAAATATAGGAACCACAGCACGGAGCGTAGGGATACTCCACATCTTCACATCTGCTTTGGATGGTGAGTGCCTGCTGACCGGTTATTGTTTGTTTACATGCTGCATCCTTTCACAAATCTCTTCAAAATACATTTGGAGGCATTGCAAATGGCTTCTTTCCGGTTAGTTGTGCTGCTGCTGGGGGGGGTGGGGGGTATTTCTTTTATTTAGTAGCTGCTTCTTGTTTCCTTTCTCTTATTTTAAGAATAGGCTGGAAGCTGTCATGATAATGGTAATTCATAGCTGGGTAGCCATGGTGAAGTCAATTTCCCCCCCTCCCTCTGCCACTGCTGAATGCATTAGTCTAATGAGATGTCTGCAGCCTGTGTGCCCAGGAGCAGCAGCAGCACAGCAGCAGCAGCAGCAGCAGCGGTGTGTTAACCAAAGGGAGACTAAGGGGGGCAAAAAAGCAAGATGGCTTTTCCTGCACTGCATGGGATTTAACTTTGTAGTTGCCTTTAGGCTCCTGGGACTTAAAACAAAAGGTTGTGGGCTTTCACAATAGAAGATAGCAGGTAATAGTCACCCCTCCCTCTCTCAGGTTTATTAGTGTGTTACGAGTGCAGGATGGAGGTGCTGTTTCCACCACGGCACATGCATGGCTGCCTTTGTGTGTTGTTTGATTATTATGGTGCTCAGCTGAATGCTGTTTCTCTCAGCACATTGCTCGGCTGAGTTTTCTGCAGGCTCCTAGTGTTTGGATGTTACTGTTGGTACACCTTTGCCAATTGCGTCTGCTTCCTCTGAATTCATGCTAATGCTGCACTCTAGTATGCAGCGGCTACAGAGGAGTATTGATGTGCAACTAAAGTGCATGTTTTCAATGCGTTGCCCTTGCCCTTGTTTGAGCTCACTCATTGTTTCCTTTGTGTCCAGCTACAAATGAGCTTACCTGCAGTGACGGCACAGAAATCAGACGGCAACAACGGTGAGATGCAATCAGCTGCAGTGGCTCCCTCCTTCATTCCCAGCCAGGCGGGGAAGATACCGGGCAGGAAGAGAGGGAGACCTCCGCTCCGCAATGTCGCCAAGATGGATTTTCCTAATCGCTACCCTGAATCGCTCCCTCCACTCAAAGTGCCCAAGAAGAGGGGGAGAAAGCCGGGCTTCAAGGTCAGCCAGATGGGAAAGGGGAAGGGGGGCTGGTGGATGAGTTGTAGTGTGTGTGGGTGCAGTGTGTTTAAAAATACATGTGTACACAGACAGGGAGACTCCATGCCCTTCAGATTTTGTGGGATCCCAGCATAAACAGAGTTGGAGTTAACATCTGTGAGGCTTTGTTCTGTTGTGTTATGGAATTATTTTTTAGCCTAAAGAGGACATTATTATCAGCACATTTGTTTTCTTTTCATACAGGCCAAAGCATGAAAACTACAGTGTTAAACAATCCTAATCCTCCCTGCATGATTTAGTGTGCATAAATAAATGATATTTCCAAAACAGACATAGCAATACAAAACCCCCTTCTTCCTCTCCAGCTCAAACCCAGGATGGTGATGACACCACTGGCTATTTCGCCACCCAGCAGCACCCCAGAGCCCGATATGAGCTCCATTCCTCAGGATGCTGCCACCATCCCCCACTCTGCCACGCCCCAGGTGCTCACAGGTAAAATACAATACGCTGTTAATCCCACTTAAGAAGCTTTAAAGTGCTTCTCTGTTAGCTTAAAGACAAAAAAGCATATGATCTCTTTTTTTCCCTTATGTTTTTCTGCTATTTCTCCTTTCCTTCATTTTCTTCATTTGTGTTTTCCAGTCTGTATCTACATCAACAAGCAGGCGAACACTGGGCCCAACCTGGACAGGAAGAAGATCCAACAGCTTCCCGACCACTTTGGGCCCGACAGACCCTCTGTGGTGCTTCAGCAGGCCGTTCAGGGCTGCATCGACAGTGCTTTCCAGCAGAAAACGGTGTTCACTCTCCTCACGCAAGGCTACGGAGGAGAAAAAATATCAGGTGTTGTACAAAGACCCCCTTCAGGTGTTGTTATCTGTTTGTTTAATAGCTTCTTTAGCACACTCCCTAAGGTGTTACTGAGAGAGAAAAAAAATATTAAAGGTTTCATTGTCTGACTTATAAGAAACTTTTGTCTAAGCTGCATTTCAAGTGGTCTTCTGTTTTGCTCTTCCAGCCACATTTGATGGGAAGCAGCATCTTCTGAGCCTCCCCGTGGTGAACAGCATCGACTATGTGCTTCGTTTTCTGAAGAAGCTCTGTCGCAGCTTGCACTGTGAAAACCTTTTCAGTGATCAGCCCATTACACAGCACAGCGGTGGCTCCTACCAGTCAGATGGTACTTCCAAATTAAGTTCTTGAACTAATATAAACAAATACTTTGAATCTGTGGGGGATTTTTATCACTAACAGAAGTCTCCATCATTTCTTTAGCTGAAACATCAATGGCTGATGACTACCATTTAGACCAGTCAGATGGCAAACGCTACTCCGTTGACCCTGGCGATTCCGCTTTCAGCTCCATAAGTTCGTCCTACTCACCAAAGTCCACCTACGGGTTTCGCTCTTCACAGCAGTTCTCTAATGGCTCAGCCTCCATGTGCAGGCAGTCATCCACCAGCCCAAACGCGTTCCCGGAGAGCAACAGGACAGGTATGACACCATCAAGAGATAAATCAAGCATTGATGCGGCCTTTATTTTTCTGAGATACAAAAGTAACTCTCCATCTTTCATTTGTTCTTTCTTGAGGTTATAATGTGTCTTCAGAATCGCAGGAGTCCAAGGCTCCGCCCAATAAAGACCCATCCACCTGGTCTGTGGAAGATGTTGTATGGTTCATCAGGGATGCAGATCCCCAGGCTCTAGGTCCTCACGCAGATGTCTTTAGGAAACATGTAAGTGTTATGCTGCTGATTTACCTGGCTAGACTAAACCTCAGGTCCTCACTGAGTTTCACACCATCTTCCTCTGCCTTTCACAGGAGATAGATGGAAATGCTTTGTTACTCTTAAAGAGCGACATGATCATGAAGTACCTCGGACTCAAGCTGGGGCCGGCCTTGAAGCTTTGCTACCACATCGACAAGCTTAAGCAGACTAAGTTCTGAAAACTGACTACAGTTTATTAACCTCTTAAATCCAGCAGGATATTTGAGGAAGGTCACATCTGGGGAAGGCAGGTCTGTTAGCCAATGGGAAGAAAGTAGAGTCATGAGGTGTGCCACTTCATTTAGAGTTCCCGGAAGTAAGGTGCATCTGTTCCTTATCTGCCCCAAAAGTATAAAAGCAAATCAGTTATATGAACTACTGAATAACTATATTGTTTCAGTCTTTCATTTATCTCTATCATAAAAGTTGGTAACTTTAGCACTTTAACATTAGCAAGGTCACATCACAAGACCGTATCCATCTAAATTCTGTACATGTTAGGTTAACTAGTATCACAGATTAGTTTGGTTCTTACATCGTAAAAATCTGCACATATTGATTTTTTCTTTAAAGTTTCTATATCAAACATGATAATGAGCATCATTTAATAAACTTATTATTCATTTGGAGTTATTTTTATGGTC